GGGAGCGAAGAGAGAAGAAGTCTTAGTCAGGGGACCGAAGAGAGAATAAGTCCTACTTGGGAGAGTCCAAGGAAGAGCACTTACTTCATAAACACTAACTTAAGAGGAGAATGTAACTCTTAGTTAATAATACCTGAGATCAACTATTGTTTAGTTGACTTCTCAATAAAACTCCGATCTATACAATAAAGTTAATTAAGAATATTGCATTTAATATTCATAAACCCCTCTAAGACTCCGCAACGACATAACTACGAGATAATCCACGGTGTCCAAGGATTTCTTAACCCTGGGATACGACAGTGGTAGTTCGGAGTGGAACCATCGGTAAACTGTTGGTACTGTCGATAGAAAAAGTATACAATCCCTACTTCTTTACTCTTTACAATTTGAAGAAATTAGAAATGAAATTTTTTGATGAGCGTCAATATTGGCACGGAACGACAGAATCCAATGTCCACGCAATTTGCAATGTCAATTTCGATTATAGATTAGTGAAGCGGCATTTTTTTGGTAAAGGCGTGCCATTCACAAAATATTTTTCGTACGCGTTCCATTACAGCGTTTCAAATCATCCACAATTAGATGTGGAATATTGCGTTTTCCTCTGCAAGATTGCGAGGAAGAAGTTTACCCAAAGTCCGGATATGATACGACGACGAAATGGAATGGTGATGTTTATATCAAGTACGATGATGACACCTTCTATCCGATGTACAAAATACGTTTTTGTATTAGTAGCGATAAAGAAGATTTGTAATAATATCTATATTTATATGTCATATCTAATAATCATAATGTTTCATAACAATTTGTTGGCCAGGAAATCGAAAAAAACATAAATTCAGAATTCTGTTTTATTTGATACGTACTTAAAAATCATATTAAATGTAATCTTATCTGTAACCGTTATTGTTTATATTATGTTATCCTTTATTATTGTGTACATATATATGTATGTAAGTCATTAAGACTTATCACTTAGGAAGATCCCATAACTAGTCATTGCGTACCAACTATTGTGAATCACCATGTTGTGCACAAATTCAAAGGTCCAATCAATAATGAGTACTAATATGTACATCTGCCTAATCACTTAATGATTAGGGAAAGGTAGGTACTATCTTCCCTTACCAAATATTGTACTCCCACTATACTAATTCACTACTATATAGTAGGATGTTTATGTAATACAAGGGAGTCCTAAAGAGTCCGAGTCCTAGTCCTAGCTAGTCGCTAGTCCAAGGTAGTTTTAGTCTTAGAGGAGAGTTCTCCTGAGTCCTAGCTATACTCATAAAAACCCTAGTAACAAAACTAGCAACTGGAATCTAGACATAAAACTTATTGATAATGTTTTATCGAAGGACCAAGTGTGTGGGTGAACAATAAAATTAACTATATTCGACTATACTCTCAACTCATATTATTACTTTATTTCAACTAACTTTTTAACTCATATTTATTCTTTTTTTGTGGTTATCTTCTTTTGGGGTCTATATCGCAAGCCCGACAACCGAAAGACCGTCTATTAAAATACCGACGCTTGAAATCCCGACTATATCAAAATCACGACTACCATAATCTCGACAATCAAAATTCCGACTATATCGAAATCCCGAACATAAAAATGTTATTGTAGAAATTTATAAAATAATAAAAGACACTCTCGGGATTTCGATATAGTTGGTATTTTGATTGTCGGGATTTTGGCACTGTCTATATCAGTGGTTTCCAAACTTGATGTTACTACGCCTCCCTCAAAAGTATGTAATCATTTGGCGCCTCCCCTCTCCCCTCCATTTTATAAAAGACATAAAACTTTAGCAGACATTTGGAAAAGTGCTCACTGCGACTAATATTCGCGCCTCCCCTTTGACTAGTCCACGCCTCCCCAGGAAGGCGCGCCTCACAGTTTGGAAAACGCTGGTCTAGATTTCGATATAGTCGGGATTTTCATTGTCGGGATTTTGACATAGTCGGGATTTCGATATAGATGGAATTTTGAACGTCGGGATTTTGAGTCCGTCGGAATTTCGAACGTCGGGATTTCGATACACTCGGGATTTCGAACGTCGGGATTTCGATTGTCGCGCTTGCGATTGCCACTACTTCTTGACATATGTCATATTTTCATACTTATAATCATGAAGATCGGGTATTCCGGACATGACAGAAGCCTAGGTTGAGAATTCGTGTGGTCAAACATAATTACTTGAGAAATAGTAATTTTCATTACGTAAAAACCACGATTTTGATGTCTTCAGTTTTTACTAAATTAGAGAACCACTGAAGATACTTACATTCAATGTGCTGTCAAATATGTCGTTTCAGAAGATGCTCATCTTTTTGTATTTATGACATATCAATTTCAACTATTTCCATTTTTCGAGGTTGCTATGCTGCAGTTCAATATAGGACGCAACGTTACGAAACGCAGGATTTGGTCCTGAAGGGCCGAACCGTCTCTAACCCGATAACGAGTTTCAAAACAAACGTCTCTGTTTCCATGGTAATAGATACATTCCGACCTCCCTGCGCCATCCAGAGCTATCGCGTTTCATCCAACTTTTAATAACCTGCAAGCATCTGCATGATAATATCGAAAAGTTTCGAGGAAGATTAGGATGAAAATATGAAAAATGCGAAACATTGAATTCAAATTGTTGGCTTTGAAACAAGATTAATTAAAATCTAATAATATGCAGAATTCATTGACGTTTATATACATTTATACACTATAAACTACACGCTAAATACAAGTACTTGTTACTACCTATTTACTTGCCAAGTTGGAAGTAGTGTGTAGGCACCTTTATAAGTACAAAACTGAAATAAATTAAATTAAATGAATAAATTTATATTAAACTTTGTGAATTCAAATCATGATCGCGGTTGATTTTCTCTAGTTTAGGTTTTTTTTTGTAAAATTCTGTGACTTTTGTAGAATTCCAAACGAATACTGTTACAAATTTTTTTTAATCAATATAAAAGAAAATAGGAAAAATTGATTTCCTTTTAGAAACTGTGTGAACCGTGGAAAATCAAATTTCACCCGTGAAATGTTTTCGAAATGGATTTTTGCCGTCGACGTTTGCGCGTCGCTCTGCATATTAATGGGGCTTCTGCAATTTATGAAAATGTCCTTCGCACCGTATCAATCCTCTGATGCAACGTTGCACAATCAATTGAATGCAAACATACGATCAAATGAAGGAATGAGTCAGAGTTCATATACACTTAAAGTGAATATTTTTAACAAAAGTTCGAAAATACGTACATTATGTCCGAACTAACGTACAAATATTAGTATGAAAGGTACAAATATGTTTGTTTAATGCTGCAAACGGCTAATGTTTGCAGCATTAAACAAAAGTCAACGTCCGATTAACGTACATTCTCTTAGAGCAGGGTTTCCAAAAGTTATTATTGGTGAAAACCTGAAATTAAAAAATTACTAAATATTTTTTTTTCTCATTTCTTTAAATTTTATTGTTTATATACACTACAAAATAAACAAGGTGTTTCGTGAAATTTTCAGGATTTACGAAGTGATTGCAGGAAAAGTTTGGGAAACTCTGTTATAAAGTATTATAATTTGTATACGGATTATGTAAGTTAACTGATCGCGGATTGTATAGCTTAGATATCCACTTTATTAGATACTATTGTCATAGTAACGAAAAACCATGGATGTACATCGGGTATTCTGGACGGGTCTATATCGCAAGCCCGACAACCGAAAGACCGTCTATTGAAATCCCGACGTTCGAAATCTCGAGTGTATCGAAATCCCGACATTCGAAATTCCGGCTGTTTTAAAATTCCGACGCTTGAAATCCCGACTATGTCAAAATCCCAACTACCATAATCCCGACAATCAAAATCCCGACTATATCGAAATCCCGACTACCATAATAATTTTATTGTAGAAATTTATAATAATTAAAGACACTGTCGGGATTTTGACATAGTCGGGATTTCGATATAGTCGAGATTTCGAACGTCGGGATTTTAAGCCAGCCGAGATTTCGAACGTTGTGAATTTGATACATTCGGGATTACAAACGTCGGGATTTCGATAGACGGGATTTCGGTTGTCGGGCTTGCGATTGCCACCGATTCCGGACATGACAGAACTCTGGATTGGGAAATGGACGAGATCCGGTCGTACGGTTTTCGTTTAATTGAATCTTCGTACAAATAAAATTAGAGGCGTACAGGTTTCTGTGGGTCGAAAAGGGATGAGAAAAGGGATAATCTTTTTGTATCTGCATGTAGATCGTAAATGTTTGCTAGGGCAATAATCGTAAAAGCGTCCTCTTCTCACAATTCAATTGATCGACGAATCACATCCTCTGAAATTAATTAATCAATCTTACTGGCTCGGTTACACCATCTCCGTTATATTAGTTTCAACTGAAATACAGGTATACCTCGACTTACGAACTCCCGGACTTACGTATTTAAAAATATACGAGTATGTGATAAAAATATATTTCATTCCCATATACAAAGTACTTTTTAGATCGTTTTTTTTTAACATTTCCTGCATTTTGTTTTCTTTCTGTTTTCAAATAGGTGAGTAAGAACCATGATAAAGTGTGGTACCCCGACTTAAGAACAAATTCAACTTACGAACAATCCTTTGGAACGGAACTAGTTCGTAAGTCGGATATACCTGTACTGATAAATTATTGAGCAAATCCTAAATATATCATCAAGTTGTAGCTTCTTAAGAACTATATTATTTTTTAGACAGCAAATGTGCCTTCTTTATTATTACATAATTTTAGTAGGGACAATGAACGATTTTTATTTCTCAAATAACATAGGCAACTTAATATGCAAATTTATATTCTTTAAACTAAATTAATATATTGGTGTTAGATAATAAGATAGTTATATTCTTTAATGAAATTGTTAAAAACAAAGGAATGTGTATTTAATAAAGCGTTAATTGATTGTATTTGGATGAAGTTAGTTGAAGTATTTACCAATAGCTAACTTCGTGTTCATAACATACGGCTACCCAATTTTCGGTATTGGTTTAGGTGACGTGTTGTCACACAACTCGAAATGAATTTCCCAATTTTCTGTGTTTTTACCCTAGCTTTGTCTCTGGCAAATGCGCAACTCAACACCCTAGTCTTATTGGATAACCAAGTGATCAAGGAGACGCATTCCAGTTTCTTCAAAGGCTTGCAAGGTTAGTTTTACAGGTTAAAAAAAAGAGAGAAGCGAACCGGCCAACTCAATTATCCGATGCACTGTTTACAGAAAGAGGATACACTCTCACCTTCAAGATTGCCGACGATTCCAGCTTGGTGCTGGCTAAATATGGGGAATACCTGTACGACAACATCATCATCTTCGCCCCATCCGTGGAGGAATTCGGAGGTAGCTTGAACACAGACACCATCACCCAGTTCATAGATGAAGGAGGCAACGTTTTGATCGCCGGCAGCAGCGCAACCGGCGATGTTCTCAGGGAGCTGGCCTCCGAATCCGGATTCGAAGTCGACGAAGAAGGAGCATTCGTTATTGATCATTTCAACTATGATGTCAGTGATGAAGGACAACACACCAAAATAGTTGCCTCACCTGAGCACTTAATTGATGCTGAAATCATTGTTGGCGATAAGAAGAACATTAAACCAATGCTTTATCAAGGAACTGGTATTTTGGCTGATCCTGAAAATCCTTTAGTCTTGCCACTCCTGACTGCAGATAGCACTGCTTACAGTTATAATCCAGACCAACCCATCAAAGAGTACCCACATGTTGTTGGTAAAAATACTGTTTTGATTGCCGGTCTTCAGGCTAGGAATAATGCCAGGGTTGTGCTCTGTGGTTCTTTGTCTTTCTTCTCTGATGAGTTCTTTGGATCTTCTGTGCAAGTTGCTCAGGTATTTATTGAAAATATCAATGGTTTAGGTATTATTGACTCAAATGTTTGTAGGGTGGAAAAGTATATGACAGGTCTGGTAATGCTCCAGTTGCCTTTGCCATCACACAATGGGCTTTCAAGCAGAGGGGACAATTGAGAGTGAGATCTGTTAAGCATCACATTCAGGGAGAGAATGAGGCTCCACATGCTTATACCATTATGGATGATGCTGTAAGTTAGATGTATACAAGCTATGGTTGTCATAGAGACACATTCCATACATACTGTGTATAGCCATGGCAACTGTAGTTGTATTCTATAGTTCTGAGCGAGGGTTACAACAACGTTATTGTTTCTAGGTGTACACAATTGAGATTGACATCTACGAAGGTATGCAGTGGAGGCCCTTCAAAGCCAACGACATCCAATTGGAGTTCGTGAGGATCGATCCGTTCATCCGCACCACCCTGATCAGCAAACCAAACGGCGTCTACGAGGCCAAATTCAAGATCCCAGACGTATACGGCGTCTACCAATTCAAGGTCGACTACGACAGGATCGGATACACCAGGCTCTACAGCACAACACAAGTGTCCGTGCGACCACTGCAGCACACCCAATACGAGAGGTTCATCCCCAGTGCGTACCCATATTACGTGAGCGCCTTCTCCATGATGGCAGGTCTCCTGGTGTTCTCCATCGTCTTCACGCATTGCCGAGAGGAGGAAGGCAAGAGCAAGAAAGAATAAAGAATTTCTAAAACGTTCTTTACGTATATATAAAAAAAAATAATTACAGTAATTCAAAGTGAGAAAAAAAAACAACGTTTTTGTACTGATCACCTTTTCGTGTTTGTTTGTTTTCTTTCGTTTAAGAATCAATTAAAAAAAATACATTTCCTAACGTGTTTAAAGCTATTTATTTATTTCTTATCGCTTTGGAAGAATCCTGAGGTGTTTGAGAAGTACTTGGCGTTTGCCTCGTTGACCTTGACTTCAGCCGCTTGCGGATTAACGATCTCCAATCCCTTGAATAGATTAAAATTTAGATTTCGTGTAAACGATGAGAGTGTTGATAAAATACCTGTAATGGTGTGAAGGCAACGCTTGAAGCAGTACCGGAAACCTGTTTTTTCACTGTGGTGCTTCCGCCCCAAATCTGTTGCTTTTGAAGGTTCTTCTGCAGCGTTTTGGATATCCTCACTTTGGTCTTCTCATCGACTTGAGGTAACCGAATCCTACCGGTTCCCGACTTTCCTATAGTTCCTCTGGTATAACCCAAATCCTCTTGATACGCATCATCCTCAATCTGTCAACAATAACATTAGATTATTAAGTGAAAAAAAATACAATCTTGAAAGAATTACATCAGCAAAGTTCATCCTGTTCGCGTGCTTCCTGAATTCGGTGATGGCGTATCGTTCCTTCATCTTCCTAACTCTCTTTCCACCGCGCTTCTTCTTGCTAGTTTCAATGGGTTTGGGTAGAGGCTTCACGAACTTCACTGGCGGTGGTTCTTGAAGTTTATCCAACTTCTTCTCGATCTCCTCCCTCAAATTCCTTCCGATTCTACCATCCGTACTCTCGTGATTCGCGTCAACTCTAGCAGCGAGCGCGCATTTGTTCGACACTAACCGAGCAGTTTTCATCCGCAAATCCTACAAGAAACGTAAAACGTCATCGAATCTTCCACTAAATTAGTTAAACTTACCGGTGGAGTGTTCTGTACTATTTCTGAGTAATAGATGTGTCCTGTATGCGGTAAAGTATGCGTTTGAGAGAATCCCGACAGATTCTTTTTCTGTTGTCCCAAGACCTGAATGTTGCAAGCAGGCATCTTTGAAAGTCTGGTCAAACCACCGGCGACACCCATCAGCTTCGCAGCTATTGAAGCACCGACGATTAGAGACAGGTTTGGCGCTATGAAAGCCATGCGACTCTCCACGTACTCGAAGATCTTAAGCTTGAAGTTGTTAAGTTCTATGGCCATGTCGCAAGCTTCGTCGATTTGGGACTTCTCGAAATCCGTCAACATGCTCCTACAGGAAATCAGTAAAATTGGTTTAGATGAAACTAATTAGATAATTATTTCATTACCCTTGCGTTGTGGACGCCGTCACCGAGACAACCATGATCGTTGCCTGCGTTAGAAACTGCTGCAGAATCTCATTGTTCTTGGCTTGATCCAAATCGTTTCCCAACTCCTTCACCGTCTTCACATACTCCAATGGTCCAACAACCAGAGAATCCAATTCAGGGAACCTCTTCTGATATTTATCCCTGACAAATTTATTGATTGCAGCTGAAATTTGAAATAAACATTATATGTTAATAACTCATCATAAACCAAATATTCTTAGAATTATCAATTTCAATCTCTTAAAATCTAATAAAGTATAAAATAATTTAATCACCAATTTCATTATCGATGTGTGCAGCTGTATTGTTGGCCTCAACAATCAGCATGTATTCAGGATCTGATTCTACTGGGCCAATGATCTCGGAGGCTTTCCTGATCTTGTTGCCGTACCCTTCGATTTGCCTCAGGATTTTGGCCAATGTTTCAGAATCTCTCAAGGTGCACAGCTCGCGGATAGAGTTGATCTGCTGTGTGTCCACATCCATGAAGAAATCCTTAACATCGGGTTTCTTCTCCTCCACCTCCTCCTGCTTCTGACTTTCCATGAACTCATCCTCGATGTCCTGCTCGTTCTCCTCCAGATCGGCCAACAGTTCGTCGGCCAAAGACATCTTGAAGAATCAATCTACTATTGAATACACAAAACCGAACGTACCATCAATGTTTTTATGTACGTTTTTTATAGGTTATGTTTTGACTGGAAATGCTTAATATCTACCATGAAACACAAGTTGCATACGTTTCGCAAGACTTATTTAATTATTAAATTAATAATTTTATTGAATTTATTGCAAAGTTACTGCTTTTTCTTAAACATGAATTTTAAATAGTAATTAGCGTTCAAGTTTAAAAAAAAGAAATATGAAAGTTTGATAAAGCAGTGTTTCCACATCCATTTGGCTGTAATTTGCATTCAAATTTGAAAAAAATGAAAAATTAACTGGGTTTCCTAAAGTTACCTAAAACAATGATTCACGAATTCTTCAAGAAACGTATGAAACTACTTAGAATTATAAGATTGAAAACATATAAAATGGTCACCCAACCTGAAAATTCGTTGCTTAACTTTCGTAGATTGTCAAACAATGAAGGATGCATGAAATAATTATCAGTATTAATTATGCCTTCAGATTAAATAGAAGATGTGAGAAAAAGCTGATTCAATGTTCTCATTTCAAGATTTTTCTATTATAAAATATCCTTTTTTATAAGCTGTTTTCGGTCACCCATCTTCAATTAACGTTGTTTAACTTTAGTTTATAAAAAAATTGTTGATGAATTCTACAAGAAACGAATGAAACTACTTATAATTATAAGATATAAACATATAAATTGGTCACCCAATATGAAAATTCGTTGCTTAACTTTCGTAGGTTGTCAAGCAAGGAAGGACGCATGAAATAATTATAAGTATTAATTATAAATTAAAAGTAGAAGATAATTCAATGTTCTTCTTTTAAGATAATATACATTTTTTATAAGATGTTTTCTATCACCCATCTTTAATTAACGTTGTTTAACTTTAGTTTATAAAAAAATATTTATGAATTCTACAAGAAACGAATGGAACTACTTATAATTATAAGATTAAGATTAGAAACACATATAAAACGGTCACCCAACCTCAACATTCATTGCTTAACTGTCGTAGATTTCAAAGAAATAATTATAAGTATTAATTATGTATTGAGATTAAGGAGAAGATGCGGAAAAGATGATTCAATGTTGTTATTTCATGATTTTTCAATTATAAAATATCCTTTTCTATAAGATGTTTTCGGTCATCCGTCTTTAATTAACGTTGTTTAACTTTAGTTTATAAATTTTGTTTTGATGAATTCTACAAGAAACGAATGAAACTACTTATAATTATAACATTAAGATTAAAAACGTATAAAGTGATTACGCAACCTCAACATTCATTGCTTAACTTTCGTAGATTACAAAGAAATAATTATAATTATTAATTATGTATTGATTTTTCAATTATAAAATATCCTTTTCTATAAGATTAACATTGTTTAACTTTAATACCTTATACAAAAAATTGATTGATGAATTCTTCCAGAAACGAATGAAACTACTTACAATTATAAGATTAACATTAAAAACAAATATAAAATGGTCACCCAATCTCACCATTCGTTGCTTAACTTTTGTAGGTTGTCAAACAAGGAAGGATGCATGAAATAATTATAAGTATTAATTAAGCATTAAGATTAAGTAGAAGATGCGGTAAAAGATGATTAAATGTTCTTATTTCCAGATTTTTCTATTATAAAATATCCTTTTTTATAACATTGTTTAACTTTAATACCTTATACAAAAAATGATTGATGAATTCTTCAAGAAACCAATGAAACTAATGAAAATAATTATCAGTATTAATTATGCTTTCAGATTAAGTAGAAGATGTGGGAAAGATGTTTCAATGTTCTCGTTTCAAGATTTTTCTATTATAAAATATCCTTTTTTATAAGCTGTTTTCGGTCACCCATCTTTAATTAACGTTGTTTAACTTTAGTTTATAAAAAAAAGATGAATTCTACAAGAAACGAATGAAACTACTTATAATTATAACATTAAGATTAAATACGAATAAAATGATCACCCAACCTCAACATTCATTGCTTAACTTTCGTAGGTTACAAAGAAATAATTATAAGTATTAATTATAAAATATCCTTTTCTATAAAATGTTTTCTGTCACCCAATTTCTATTAACATTGTTTAACTTTAATACCTTATACAAAAAATGATTCATGAATTCTTCCAGAAACGAATGAAACTACTTACAATTATAAGATTAAGATTAAAAACAAATATAAAATGGTCAACTTCAACATTGGTTGCTTAACTCTCGCAGGTTGTCAATAAATGAAGGATGCTTAACTTTCGTAGTTTGTCAAACAAGGAAGGATGCACGAAATAATTATAAGTATTAATTAGGTATTAAGATTAAGGAGAAAGATTCCACCGCCTCCTCAACAATAAAACATAATTACAACTATTCATTTTATTTGAAAATCTGTTTTCATTCTCTTGCTTAATCTTTTTAAATCACTTATTCCCGTTTTCCATTTGCATTTTCTATAGAAAATAACAAGAAATTGCATAATAATTGCAAGAAAAAATATAACATTCGATAAATTGCACACGAACACTTTAATTGTTTCCTAAGACTTTAATAACTACACTTGACTAATTAAATGCTGAGATACCTACTTACGCATACATCTAATACACTGCTAGATTCTAATTACCTTTTATCCGCCTTTTAAATATATAATGGTGCATCTTCTGCGAAGACACAACGAAACGCTACGTTTAATCGTTCTCTTCCCATCACCATTAAAAGTGAAAATAACAATGATGGAAAGAGAGTGAACAAAAAAAAAACTATATTATAATTAATTTTTCACTCTTTTTACTTCCGATTCAAATTAGACTGAGAAGCTCTTCTATCGCTAATCAATTAGAGTTTTAATTTCATCAGAAATCGGAATAGTTTAATCTCTAATTATGATTTAGTTGTTTCCTGATTGAGTATTAATTAAAACCTGATAGACAATCGACATTTCGGAATTTTGATACAGTTGGTATTGTGATTGTCGGGATTATAGTTGTCGGGATTTTTATACTATTTCTATTATGGTTGTTAAGATTCTGATACTGTCTGGATTATGGTTGTCGGGATTTTTATACTGTTTGTATTATGTTTGTTGAGATTTTTATACTGTTGGTATTATGTTTGTTGGGATTTTTATACTGTCAGACTTTCGACACTGTTGGTATTATGATTGTCGGGATTTTTATACTGTCGGGAGTATGGTTGTTGGGATTTTCATACTGTCGGGATTATGGTTATCAGGATTTCGATTGCCACCGATATGATAGTTGATGAACAAAACCATAATTAAAAAAAACTTTGAAAATTGGAGTTGGATTAATTTAATGTGTAATTTTAAAATTTAGATCTTGCCAACTTTATTTTTATAAATGTGAAAAAATTTTGGAACATTAATACACTATTATTTTGATACAGCCAGTATTGTGATTGTCGGGATTATAGTTGTCGTGATTTTTATACTGTTGCGATATGGTTGTTGAGATTTTGATACTGTCTGGATTATGGTTGTCGGAATTTTTATACTGTCGGTATTATGTTTGTTGGGATTTTTATACTGTCAGGATTTCGATACTGTCGGTGTTTTGATTGTCGGGATTTTTATACTGTCGGGATTATGGTTATCGGGATTTTGATTGCCACCGATAAGATGGTTGAATTACAAAACCATAATTATAAAAAAACTTTGAAAATTGCATGTAGATGGCGCTAATTGGAGTTGGATTAATTTGATGAGTAATTTCAAAATTTAGATCTTGCCAACTTTATTTTTATAAATATGAAAAAAGTTTGGAACATTAATACACTATTATTTTGATACAGTCAGTATTGTGATTGTCAGGATTATAGTTGTCGGGATTTTTATACTGTTGCGATTATGGTTGTTGAGATTTTGATACTGTCTGGATTATGGTTTTCGGGATTTTTATACTGTCGGTATTATGTATGTTGGGATTTTTATACTGTCGGGATTTCGATACTGTCGGTATTATGATTCTCGGGATTTTTAAACTTTCGGAATAATGGTTGTCGGGATTTTTATACTGTCGGGATTATGGTTATCAGGATTTCGATTGCCACCGATCTGAAGGTTGATGAACAAAAGCAGAGAAACATTTAGCAATTAAATTGCGGAGATGCTATAAATCAATGCGGAGATCATTAATGAGGTAAAAGGCCTTTCGTGCCGTTGCTGATTGTCGTTTTTGTGTGTGTTTTCATATGGAAAGAAAAGAACAGTGAGAGAAATTCTCAATTAAATAGCGAATCCGATTGATATGTGCTGATTGCTCAAGCAAAGTACGGCCGTCTCCATCGTCGAATCGGAATCACATTTTCCCCGCAACGGTCTTCTACCATTTAAAAGCGCAATTAGCAATTATCCAAATGAAATCTGTGACAGTCGATTCATTTCCTCCAGGTCGACTTCACTTCACTTTCAGAAAATCTTTGAATTGTCAATTGCATATAATACCGTTAAATCTAATACAAAGTTTTGATTATATTTTTTTTTGTTGTTGTTTTTGTTTTAACTTGTCACTGATAATTGGAATTGGAGTAATTTGATGAGTAATTACAATATTTGTTATTTTAATAAAATCTTAATTTGTTTATTATAACTCAAAATATAATACAAAGTCTCGATTTTTTTGGTTTTGTGCTAACACTGACGTGTATCCAATAATTTAATAAAGGGTGTCCCAAAATTAACTTCTCCAATTATTTCAGATTTCTTCAGGTTAAACATTTCAAGCGTGTACGGATTAAATACTTTCTCTATCGAGACGACATCCACGTCTGATCTTCTATGTGTCACTTTATCAACAATTTCTCTGAATTCTAAATCTAATTCACCTAACGCAATCAACGTGTACACCTCATTCGGTGATAACTTGACTTCTTTATAACCGAAATAATTTTGCAGGTGTTTAATTACGTCATATTGTTTCTTTAATTCTGAAGCTTCTCTTTTAGAATTCATTTTTTTTGTAGATCTTCAATATGTAGAGTTGTTCTTCCTCTTTCAGTTTAATTGCTTCGTAGTCAGATTCCACACATTTTTGCGGTTCATCAACGACGCCGA